GATGGGTCTGGAATGCAGCCATTGCTTGCCAAGGGAAGGCCTTCCCAGAGCCTTGCCACATCCACACCCAGCACCTCTACCCTGAGGCTGGCCCAGGTGCCAGTCTAAAGAGGTAGTGGGCCTGCAGATGGAGAGAAGGAACGACCACACTCCCTTAGCCCCCTTTAGGGTCCCCGTCTGGTTTGAGGGTCTGTCATCTCAGCAGCAGGGCAAAGCTGAAGGAAACCAGTAGACCCCCTTAACCCCATAGCCCCAGCCTCCAGGGCTCCCAGTGTGCCATCGTCTGTACCTCAGCCCCCACAGAGAGGGTGCCAAACACTGCCTGGCTCTCTCAGGAACTCACTGAGCCAAACCCATCACCCAAAAGAATGAAACTCTGAGGTGGACACTCGTCTTGGGGTGGTAGCTCTCTTGGGTCTTGCTGTCCTCTTGCTCCAGCCTCCTGGCGCCAACATCTGCATCCAGCCTGGGCTGAGCACCAAGAGAGGGACTTGACTGGAGGCCACAAGCTGCACCACTGATGTTCCCAGACCAGCACTCGGGGCCACAGGAAGAACCAGTGGGAGGACTTGGGGCTCCAGGGAATGCTAACCACTCCTCTCCTCATCCCAGCCCCTGTCCTGGCACTGTCTACACCTGGGCTCCACTTCCTTCTGGACTTTCTTGGTTCCTCCTCTTGGGTCCACTCTGCCGCCAGGAGCTTTAGGGTCCAAAAGAGACCCCAATCTCCAATGTAATTTAAGGAGACCATTTATGAAGTCTTACATGGCACAAAGACGCAGACACATCCCCGGATGAGGGAGGCCATTAGCAGGAGGTCAGAATGACATCGGGGATTCACAGCCAGGACACTAGTTCAAGGAGACATGGAACAGAGGGAACTGCTACAAAGTCATGATTGGTAGCGGATCAATACATCACAGCTGCAGGTGGGACACAGAAGCAGGACCAGGCTGGTGATTAGAACACGTACATTATGTTAGATAGAAGAGCTTACAAGATGGGCCCAGGCAGTCAGAGCACGATTGATACTGTGTCACTCATGACTATGCGACCCCTGCACTGTCCCCATCAAGGACACTTCCAGTCAAGTCCCTAAGAGAGACTGCTTGAGGTCCCAACCTGTCAGAAAAACCTGTCGGCTCAAAGCCTCGTCTGTCTCTCCTCTGGCCCAAACGCCAGCTATCTCTGAGGGCCTTGGGGTAAAACCCCCTCTACTTCCACCCCAGAAAGAACCCCCTCTCCAGCCCTCACCCTCTGCACCCCATTGTCCCACCACAGCATCACCCCGTCTTTCTGCATCCACCTTGTCCCTGGCCCTGTCTGTCCAGGCTGCATACCTCCCCATCCACGTCCCCATCCCCCTGTGACCTCCTGACCCTCTCTCTCACCAGTAGACCTTCTGGAAGCTGGCACCAGCCTGAGGGTGAGAGGCCTGCCACTGGGCTTACCCCTCTGGGGACAAGATGGACATTCTAGGGATGGCCTGGGAATCACAACAGTGAGGTTCTGACTTGGTTTTAAAAATAGTCTCTAAAGTCATAATCCAATGATTCTCACACACCACACACCAGGATAATTCCAAATAGATAAAAGAGCTAATGTTCAAAGTTCAACTACAGATATTCCAGAAAACAACATGTGAGAATCCCATTATAGCCTTAGTATGAGCATTTCTGGTCTTCTCGACATTGAGTTGCAATCCACACCAAGGCTGCAGTCTTTGATCTTCCTCAGCCCCTGCCTCAACACCCCCTCGCTCTCAGCACAGTGGTGATATCTGCAGACAGCAGGTTGTTTATAAGCTCCCCATTTCGATGCCGGATACACAAAAACAAAAAGATATGGCATTCCAGTGCATCAAAGAAGTCTTATACAACAGAAAAGTGGGTGAAGGGAGATGGCAGTCTAAGGCGTGACAAAATGATAATAATTCATAAATGATCCAGTGTTTGCAGGGAGGGACGGATGGGAGGGGAAAATGAGGCGCTGATGCCAGGGGCTTAAGTGGAGAGCAAATGTTTTGAGAATGATGAGGGCAACAAATGCACAACTGTGTTTGACACAATGGATGGATTGCGATAAGAGTTGTACGAGCCCCCAATAAAATGTTTTTTCTTTTTTTTTTTTTGTCAATCATTTTATTAGGGGCTCATACAACTCTTATCACAATCCATACATACATCAATTGTGTACAGCATATTTGTACATTCATTGCCCTCATCATTCTCAAAACATTTGCTCTCCACTTAAACCCCTGGCATCAGCTCCTCATTTTCCCCTCCCTCCCCACTCCCTCCTCCCTCACGAACTCTAGATAATTTATAAATTATTATTTTGTCATATCTTGCACTGTCCGACATCTCCCTTCACCCACTTTTCTGTTGTCCGTCCCCCAGGGAGGAAATTATATGTAGATCCTTGTAATCGGTTCCCCCTTTCCACCCCACCCTCCCGGTATCACCACTCGCACCACTGGTCCTGAAGGGATCCTCTGTCCTGGATTCCCTATGTTTCAAGTTCCTATCTGTACCAGTGCACATCCTATGGTCTAGCCAGATTTTTAAGGCAGAATTGGGATCATGATAGTGGGGGAAGGGGGGGAGGAAGCATTTAAGAACTAGAGGAAAGTTGTATGTTTCATTGTTGCTACATTGCACCCTGACTGGCTCGTCTCCTCCTCGCGAACGTTCTGTGACGGGATGTCCAATTGCCTACAGATGGGCTTTGGGTCCCCAGTCCGCACTCCCCCTCATTCACAATGATACGATTTTTTGTTCTGATGATGCCTGATACCTGATCCCTTCGACACCTCCTGATCACACAGGCTGGTGTGCTTCTTCCATGTGGGCTTTGTTGCTTCTGAGCTAGATGGCCACTTGTTTAACTTCGTGTATAATCAAAATAAATCAATAAATGAAATAAAGGCGGCTTCCATGAATAAGTATGTGCCTCTTGGACAAAGGAGAAGCCCTACAATGCCAGGAGTCAAAACCACCCACGATTCTCAGGGCCCGACTAGACTGGCTGGGCTTTTCTAGGCTGAGCAATCACTTCCATCCCTCCTTCCTGCTCAAGGTGAAGCTTGCAGACCATTGGTCCTCAGGTCTGCTGTCTCTGTGCTCAGGACAGGTCGCCCAGCCTGGGCAGGGCAGTACAGGCAGAAGGTGTGAGGTACCCCTCGCTTCCCCTGGCAGTTGAAATCTGGGAGCACCCGGGGTTTTGTCCATTTTGACCATCTAGCCCTGTGAGTTCCCAGAATCCCCTCCCTATGGCCTTCTACCCACCTGACTCCTTCTGCTCCTGGGCATCTGCTAGATGGCTCCCCCTTGAGAAGCCGTGCTCACACCAGCCTCTCCTCATGACCCTACTTTGTTTTCTTCCTGCCACTTATCTCTCGTGGAAGCAATCATATTCATTTAGGGATCCGTCTCTCTTTCAGAAAATAAATTCCAGGAGGGCTAGGAGCGTGCACAATTGTTCAGACCTGGATTCCTGGGGCTCAGAATTATGCATATCCCAGGCTGAGCGTGAGCTGAAACCCTGTTTCGGGGTTCCTGAAACAGCCCAGCTGGGGCAGATAGATAAGCTCCTACGGGACCTCCGGCATAGCTCAGAGCATGACTGTCTCGGGGCCCTGGCTTCAGTCAGCCTTCACAGTCTTCCTGGGCCTCCTTTGAATCGGGACCAGGACAGAGTGAGGCTGCCCCCTTACCTCTCCGCCCAGCCTTCTGGAGAACATCATTCACAACCTGGCCAGCCCCTTGTCCTCCCGCAGCGCAGCCAGATGAGCCTCCTCGGAACCCTTCTCATTCATATTGACAGTAACTGAAGACCATTCCCAGATTCAGAGAGAGGAGTCTTATACAGATCAATGATCTCGCTTTCTCCTTAACCTCTCTCCAGCCTATCACCTTGGCAACCATTACAGCCCTGCGTGATTTCTACCAGCAAAACAATCTCTCGCAGAACAAAGGAAAGTCAGATCCCTAACCCAAATCCGACTGGGCCATTTGGCTGCATCATTAACGTATGTGCTGGGATGGACTCAACGGTGGGTGATGTGGGAGCCCAGAGAAGACCTGGTCCGGACAAGGACTTGAGTTTTGCTAAAACTGCCCCCAGAGAAAAGGGACAAGATACACTCTGGGTGTAGGGATTCCTGGGTGCAAAGACCCTCCACATTTGTGTTGGGCCAAGGGCTGGCTCAAGGTGCCCAGAGCACGGAGAGGGGGTGAGAGACGCTGAGGCTGCCCAAGCAAAGGGCGGGCCAGGATGTGAGCTTCACCCTGAGCACCTCAGGGAACGAGTGTCCGAGGGTTTGCAGCAGGAGAGAAATGCAATTGGGTGTATATTTTAGGAAGCGCCCTCAGCCTGTGGAAGGGGAGGAGTGGGCTGCAAGAAGATATTCTCAGTGTTCCCGGAAGAGGCGGTGAGGGCCAACCAAGAGAGGGGTCCGGAGAGAAGAGGGCAGAGGGAGACGTTCGACAGTGTAACTTATGACAAAACTATAATAATTTATGAATTATGAAGGGTTCATGAGGGAGGGGGGAGGGAGCGGGAAAATGAGCAACTGATATTAAGGGCTAAAGTAAAAGGCAAATGTTTTGAGTATGATGAGGGCAACAAATGTACATATGTGCTCGACACAATGGATGTATGTATGAATTGTGATAAGAATTGTACGAGCCCCCAATAAAATAATTTTTTTAAAAAAGAGAGAGAGAGGGGTCCGGGACAGACAGCACTGGATTGAATGCTAGATTCAACTGACATTGAGGAAATCGAATCAGGTGACTTGGGGCCTGATTGACAGTGTGAAAGTTTTTGTCGGGCCAGGATCTGCCTTCAGGAAGGAAAAGGAGGGAGATCCCCATATGTCCATTTTTGCCTGAACAGTATGCGTGGGGATGCAGGGGGGAGGGGGGAGCCTCCAGGGGGAGGTCACTACCAGATAAATAGGCAGTGGGCCGGTCCCAGCCCACACACCATCCCCCAACTTGCAGCGAGCAGTCCACCTCGGGCTCATCCTCACCCTCTGCCAGGGCCATGGCTCAGCCCCTGGGTCTGAGCCTCCTTGTCTTGGTTCTGGCCCTCTGCAACCCTGGCACCCAAGGTACCCATGCAGGGGGTGCCTAGCTAGAAGGGGGTGTGGGGCTGGAGGTGCCTAGGGTCGGGTCCTAGAAGTTGCCCCTGGATCCCTATGAATCCCACCCCTGCAGGCAGCGATGCAGGGGGTGCCTAGCTAGAAGGGGGTGTGGGGCTGGAGGTGCCTAGGGTCGGGTCCTAGAAGTTGCCCCTGGATCCCTATGAATCCCACCCCTGCAGGCAGCGACGGAGGGGCTCAGGACTGCTGCCTCAAGTACAGCCGGAAAAACATTCCCGCACACATCGTCCGAAGCTACCGGAAGCAGGAGCCAAGCTTGGGATGCCCCATTGCTGCCATCCTGTGAGTGGGCACAAGGGAACGGGTGTCAGCCAGCAGCTGAGTGGGGTGGGCAGGGGGAAAAGACTAAGAGGGCTTGCTGACCTCGCCCCTCCCCCTCCAGGTTTGCACCCCGTAAGCGCTCTCAGCCTGAGCTGTGTGCGGACCCTAACATGGAGTGGGTGCAGCAGCTCATGCACCGTCTGGACAAGCCACCAAGCCCACGGAAAGGCCCTCCCGGCTGTGGGAAGGACAAGGGAGGCAAGTCTGGCAGGAAGAGAAAAGCTTCCAAATCCTGCAAGAGGTAGGAGTCGGGAGGGCTGGGAGGAAAGGGGTAGGGGGCACGGCTTTCGGCTCCCTCACACGACCTCTTCTGCCATCCCAGGACTGAGCAGCCCCAGAGCCCCAAAGGGCCAAAGCCTGAAGCCCAGGAAGCCCCCAAAACCTTGCCAGGGCTTGGAGGCCCAAGGGGCCAGAAGGGGAATAGGTGAGAGGGAGGACTGAGCAGTCCCCGGCAGCCATGCCCTGCTAGCCCGGCCACACCCCTTCTCCTGCTTCGACCACCCCAGCTGTGCCCCCAGTCCCCTCCCGCATGGCTCAGCTGCCCAGACAGGACAGGACCGGGAGGCAGCCCGGCAGAGGATTGAGGAATCCCCTGGTGAATATGGGAGGAGGCAGCAGGACTGTCTCTCAAGAGAAGCCACCGAGGACCCTGGACCTGAGCCTGCTCCCCACTGCACCTTGTCTCTTCCTTGTAAACATGATGTCTACTAAACTGAATTAAAAAATGACTTCTGCCTCCCGCTCAACCCCCTGTTCCTGTGTGTATGTGTCTTGGGGAAAGCCAGCGCCACTCTAGCAGGGGGTCACACCCCCTGGGGTACCTGGCAAGAGATCCGACTGGTATGTCCTCACCTTCCGGGGGTACCCCACCCCACCCCCCGGACTTACGGGCAGAAGAGGGAAGGCTGATGAGTGGAGTAGCATTTCTGCCAATGAGAAAGGAGAGCGGGTGAACCCAGAAAGCCCACCCTAACCTCCAAGACCCTGAAGAGGTCCCTCTATCAGGCACCCTCCCACCCTTGGAGGGGCCTCCTGTCTTCTCCCAGCTGGCCACGGACTGCCTCCCCTTTCCTTGGGGCCTATGAGTAAGAAACTCCGATGTCTCTTTGGGGAGGGTCCCTAGGGAGACTGCCGGCCATATTTCCCCTCCCCACTAGAGCCCTGCGGCCTGGGCCAGCCTACAACTCAGGCATACACACCTTCTACTGAAACCCACCTTGGTGACATGCCTGCCCTGGGAACCCCCAGGACCCCTCCCCTCCCAAAGACCCAGAGGACTCCCCTCTGCCTGCTTCCTTGCAGCTCAGCCCCGGCTTCTCCCTGAATTTAATAGGTCTGTCTGTCGGGATCTTTCCATACGGACCTGAGTTCCTTGACACCTTCCATTGAAAGCTCTCTCTTTTTTTTTTTTTTTCTTTTCCCCTTTTTTCTCCTCTGAGACCCAAGACCTCGTCCTTTTTTTAATCTCTTAAAGCCAAGAAATAAATCTCCCGGGCAAGTATCTGGCAATCTAGGATACAGACCTAAATCGTTCTTCTCTCCAAGAAGAGCCTAGCTCAACTCTTCCCCCCAGAGTACCAACCCCTATCCTGCTAGCCCCCTCCCGCTAGGGAGAAGGGGGGATGTCATCAGATGAGGCTTGGCCAAGCAGGAGAGAAAGGACCAGATCCAGAGGAGGGTCAAAAGCTGATGGGACCCAAGAAGCTAGAGGTGGCTACCCCGCCATCCTCTCCCTCTCCAGGAGCTTGGGCTGCCTCAGCACTCACCACTTATCATAACATCCTAGAATCATTTGCTTATCTGCCTCTCCTGTGCTTGCTAGGACTGAGGCTCCTCCCCACCTATCCTGTTACATATGATTTTATCCTAACTCAGGTGTGCACTAAATACCGTGTCTTTTAAATGGTCTCTAAATCAAATTCATTCCTACTCCAAGCCCCTATTGCTGGAGTTCTGGTGAAATTTTCAACATCTTAACAACTTGGCAGGGGTCCTGCCTGCCAAGCGTTGTGCAAAAGTCTTAAAAACATCGAGGCAGCAAGAAGGGTCCCTACCTCACTCTCCTCCCACCACCCCAGCCCATCACTGGACGCCCAGCTCACCAGTGAATGCTGGGGCTCCTGTGGTCTTGGCAGGCGTGTCTCTTCAGGTCCAGACTTTCAGACTTGGTGGCCCGTGCTACATTTGAGACAAAGGAATTTAGATATGTGATATGGCTTCCCAGACAATCCCTGAAGCCACCTACTCTGAGTCCTGTGCCTCACTCCATCACTGCCAGCTGGCAAGCCCCGCAGGTCAACCCTCCTCCACCTGGAAAAACTCTCTCTTCAACCACTGCTTCTCTAGATGAAGGCCCCAGCCCTTCGGGCACAGCTGTTCTCAGGCCGCCCAAAGCCCTACCAGCGCAAAAGGGGAAGGAAAAACATCAGTAGAACAACAAAAACTCCTCTTTCACTAAGTTAACCTGCCTGGTATCTCCCTCAAGCCCCGCCCTAAGGAAGCACATAATATATATTTATTCCAACAGAGAAAGAGAGACCTCTCTCCATGTTGGCCTTCACCCTGGAAAATGTTGCCCTGTGCTCTCTTCTTTCTGTAAAATATCAAACTAGACATATTTGTGGTTAAAAATAAACTCCAAATTGTCCAAAAAACGTATTCTGAACAACCACCCTTTCCCACAACTTGCAACTCTGAAGCTATTTCCTTCTATGAGTTGGTGTTAAAATGTCTAAATACGTGTTTACATTTCTATTTCTTGATTTAATATATTTTTAACTTTATCAATGGACTTCCTATGATAAAAAGTGATGGATTCACTTTTTCACCAACCCCAATTAAATAGTCATTTTTATCAGGTCCTCTCACATTGATTCCGACTTGTGTTTCAGAGTGCAACTGTGCTCTATAAGGTTTCAGTGGCTGATGCTTTAGAAGTAGATTGCCAGGCCTTTCTTCTGAGGTGCCTCTGGGTAGACTTGAACTTACAGCCTTCCAGTTAATAGCAGACTATTATTAACCATCGGCACCACTCAAGGACTCCAAATAGAGTCAAACCACCATATAAATACGTGTGCAAATATATGTAAAGAATGAGTAAGGCTAGAGAGTAAGGGAAACATCCTAACAACTTGAATCATGTAAACCAGACACTAATTCCAAACTAAGCAGCTGGGTTTCTTAACAGCCCACACTTTACCTAGGTCACAAGTCACTATCGACACTTCATGCCCGTATTTTGGAGGGATACAATCACAAGTGGGTTTTCCTTTGTTTTGTTTTTCAAACAGTTTTATGAGCATATAATTCACATACCGTATAATTCAATAGTTGAATCACATCGAGGAGAGTTGTACAATCATCACCACAATCAATTTTAGAACATTGTCTTCATTCTCATCATTAGCACTCCATTTCCACTCAACCTCCCCTACCACATCACCAAGGAACTATTAATCTAGTTACTGTCTCTATAGATTTACCTATCCTGGAATCCATGTACAGAAAAACATTTAAAAACAGACTAGCAACAATAACAAACCAAGACATAAAAACCTCAATCAAAAAGAAAGAAAATATTAAAAACAAGAACAAATGTAATGGCTCACAAAAGATCAAATGATAGGGTGCTATATTTTAACCTAACTGCATCTGCAACAATCCACTTTCCAATGCACGCTGCCTGACAGCAAGGCTAGTCACAACCATGGTCAGAGGGGATTCACCAGGGGCTTAATCCACGTGTATATCTCCTGCACGTTTTAAAAACTGAAACCGTTTGAAAATAGGTCAAATGGGACATCAAATGATATTACATTTTAACCTACCTACTTCTGCCATAATCAGCTTTACAATGTTCTCTGTCTGATAACAGGGCTATTCATATCCCTCAACTATGATCAGAGGGATTCGCCAGAGGCTTAATCCAGGGTGTGGACCCTGCAAATGGATTTGGGGCTTTCACTGTCATCCGTAGCCTTCTGCAGACCAGGTGTTCACAATTTAAGCCCTGGCACCATTCCCTCCTTTATATTTGGACTATATTATTTACAAACATTGGATCACATAGGCTGGTATGTTTCTTCCATGTGGACTGAGTTGACGCTTCACTTAGATGGTTACTTATTTTAAGACAAGCCTTTTAAGACCCCAGACATCTCACTTAGATGGTTACTTATTTTAAGACAAGCCTTTTAAAACCCCAGACACCAAGTTTTTTAATAGCTGGGCACCATCTAGTTTTTTCACCACACTTTGCTATAGAACCCATATCTCCAGTGATCATAAAGGTAAGCATCAAGCAAACCCATGTCTTAAGAACGAGTTGTTCTTAGATTGGGGCTAAAATTAAGTGCAAGCCCCAAATCCATTCATGCATCTATGGTTTATGTATGTCTCTGGTTCACCTTAGAGACATTATTGTCATTATATGTTAAAGAACATTATTAATCATCTTCCAGGAACATCACTTCCACTGCCATCAAATCCATACGGATGCACACTGACCCTAAGGGGCAGGGTAGAACAGCTTGATTTTTTAATATCTTTCTTTTGAAAATTAAAAGCAGGAAAGTGTGAGGATACCTGCAGAGCAGAGCCAGCACAGGTGGCATCTTCTGCCTTGCTTGGTGGCACTGGGGTGACCAGAATTGAGGCCCATGCTTGCTTTCTATGAAAGCTCAAACTTATTATATTTCCTTGTTGAATCATATGCTGGGGGAACTTAATGAGCTTTTCTCCATCTTCAGCTGGCCTCTTCTGTGAAACCCTTGTTCTTGCCTACACCCAGGGGTTATTTCTCTGCACGTGTTGTCATTTCCCCTTGTCTTCTGGGTGCAATACCAGCCTGTTTTGCAAGACTCGTTGGTGTGTCTTTGACAGTGGTTTCACTGACCAATGAGCTCTCGTTTTTATGGATCTTGAAATTGCCAAGCCTCTAGCAGCATCTGTTGCCCTTCTTTCTGAGGTAACTACTGTGAGATTAAGTCCAGCTGAAAGCTTTCTTTTGAAGACATTCTTTTCGCTGTTGTTTACAAACCAAGACTCTGGGAACAGCTCTGTTGTCGAGTTTTTTAAGCCTTTTGCTTTAGAGCTGTGGGTTGTAGCAGAAATAATTTTTAATACCAGATGAAGAGAATAGCCAAGCTCCACTCTGATGCCTAAACAACCTGCATCTATTTCTGTCCCCAACGCTCCTTTGTGAGGTGGAAACCACAGGTGGCTGTAAGACTCTCCACCACCAAGGCAGGTGGGCCACTAAGGGCAGAGGTTAGGCGCATGGCTTGTTTTTTCTGTTCTTTCCTTAATCTTTCTGGGAATACTTTAAATTTTTAAAAATTCTTCTTTTATTAAAAAAAAAACACGTTTTAATGAATCAAAAGTGTTTTGTGGCTCCTGCTAGGCCACAGGCCTGGCTAGCACCTTCTTGTGTCCATTTATGGGCGGTCAAACTCTTTTCCCGTCTTGTCCAGGTGAAAAGCTCCATCAGCAGGTGGGCAGCAAGGAGCCCAGCACACAGTCAACCCAAACCAAGCTCGCTGTCCCTGGGTCGATTCCGACTCCTCCTCACGACCCACTAAGGGCAGAAGAGTACTGCACCCTAAGGGTTTGTTTGCATTCCGTGGACTTCGCAGTTAGCTGTCCCAGGTGCACCTCACCCAGGGCGCCACCAGGCCTCCTCGCCCGTGGACGACAACGAGAACCTTCTATCAGAGTTGGCAGCGTCGGCAGGTGGCTTTGGGAATCA